GGCCAAGATGGGAATGGAAATGTGGGGGCAGGCATGGGGGCACACCTGAGCCCACGGCTCTGGGGCCATTTGGTGGCGGGTGCATCCTGCAGCATGGAGGCTGCCTCGGGGCTCCCGAGAGAGGCAGCTCTGCTGTAGGCATGTCCAGCCTCCACTGACGTGACAGCCTCCCTTCTCTTGGGCAGCTGCACACACGGCTCCACCTGCCTTCATTTTCGAAAAGACGGCATACATTTGCACCTCTCACAGGGAAAAGCGTGCACTCTTCCCCCTTTTCTTCTTACGTGCCCAGAAGTTTTAACCATTCCCCACCCAAAGAGAAGAGGACCGGGAAGACAGAGGGCTAGAAGCCGTGTGTACATCCGTATGACTGCGTGTGTGCACGTGTGCGTGTGTGCCCGTGCGTGTGTGTGCACGTGTGCACATGCAGGCACCCACTCAGGCATGTGCGTGTTTGTACAGGAACAATTAGTTATTTTGTGTCTTGACAAACGCTAAACTCACCCTGACCCTGGGTCACACTAGGCAGGGTAGCTGTCTTAACCCAGACCTCCTGGGACGCTGCGGCCAACTGTCTGACCTAAGATTCGGGCCACAGAAATCAACTCCCTTAATAACTCCCTTATTGCACCACAACCTAAAACCCAGACAGTCAGAAAACCTGCGGTGAAAAGTCCCAGGGTTTAGAGGGCCCACAGGGGACAACAGCTGGTGCTTGACATCTCTATTTTAACCCCAATCCTGAAATGTCAGCTTTCACAGGACGCCCGGGTCTCTCCTTATAAACGCAAATCCAAGACAAAAACGGGAAAACTTCATCAAGAGGGAGCCCCTATCTTGCCTTCACGGTACAAAACAGGCACTCATTAAAAGCTGAGTGGATGAGTGGTTGCAGAGTGACCACAGGCCTGCGTAGGGACGATGTCCAAAGGGAATTGAGGGTCATCTCCCGGCAACCCAGATGCTGCCCTCTGGCCCCCAAGCCCATTAGGAGAAACCGCTAATTGATTAAACAGTGGTTCCCAGCAAGGGGCATCTGATGATGTCTGGACACATTTCTGGCTGTCATAACTGGGAGAGGGGTGCTGGGATCTAGTGGGTGGAGGCCAGGGGTGCTGCTAACACCTTACAGAGCCCAGCACGACCTTTCCCCCTCCCAACAAAGAATTACGCAGCTCAGAATGTCACAGTGCCCAGGCGCTGTCTCTACAACCTCACTTGATTCAAGCGTCAAACAGCATGTGCCAGGCAAACCCATGGAAACCTGGGTGTCCTGTGAGTTTCTGATGTTTTCTCATATTTGTTTGGAACAGGTTGGAGAAGAGGAATCAGAGGCTGGGTGACTCCGGCCGTGGGTGGTGTTAAAAAGACAGCTGTCACTGTAGATACCGCCAGAGATGGGCCCAGGCCAGGGGCACCTCCCAGGACCCTCAGGAAACGCCTGCCACGTAAGCAGACACCCCATGGCCCCAGGTTCAGTCTGTCCCGAGAGCTAACTTAGCATCCCTCTGGCCCCCTCCCCGAGAAGTTTGAGGCAATAGCTGGAGGAGAAAGGCTGGGGGTAATCTCTTGAGACGCGGCAGAGCTGAAACGAGGTAAATGAGGATGCGGGGGAAAAGCGGGTGCCAGGAGTCCTTTCCTCAAAAGTAGCTGCGTCAAGCTCCCGGCTGTCATCTGCTGGGCTGTCACGCATGCTTCCTGCTTTAATCCCAAGACCCCTGGCTTTTTAAAAGGAAGACTTTTCCCACGGGGATGTTTTGGGAACACTGAATTCCCACCAGATAGCAACCTCATCCCTTGATTCTCAGAAAAAACAGGGCCCCAGGAGTGTCCTGTTCCAGATGAGGCCACTCCATTCAGCATCCTGAAAGGAGACACGGTTCCCAGGGTACAAAGGGGCTCTGACAATTTCCCCCAGCCTGCAATTTCAAGGAGGACCTGCTCTGGGGCCCAAGTTCCAAATTCAAGAGTGTGTGCAGTTCACGAGAAATCACCCCGGCCTGGGGCTGGTGTGGATTTTGGATCTCGGGGAAAACTTTCCACAGTGGACCTTCCTCATTTCTAAGCCAGGAATGTGAAACCCAAGCTTGCCTAGGGTCTTCTCAGGTCAGAAATTTGGGGTAGCTGCAGACCACACAGGGGAACCAGCAGTGGGTGGGAAGCCTGGTCCAGCCAGGCTCAGCGGGGCAGAAACCCTATCTTGAAAGACTGCAGAATTTTATATTTCATCCACCATGGTCTCATTCTTCAGATGAGGAAAGTGAGGCCCATCATGGCTTAAGTACCTAGCAAGGTCAATTTCCTTTCGCCGAAAGAAGGTATCTTACAGGCTGAACGTGGTGGCTCACAGCTGTAATCCTGAGTCACCTGAGATTGGGAGTTCAAGACCAGCCTGACCAACATGGAGAAACTACGTCACTACTTAAAATACAAAATTAGCTGGGTGTGGTGGTACGTGCCTGTAATCCCAGCTACGTGGGAGGTTAAGGCAGGAGAATCGCTTGAACCCAGGGGGGGCGGAGGTTGCGGTGAGCCGAGATTGTGCCACTGCACTCCAGCCTGGCCAACAAGAGCAAAACTCTGTCTCATAAAAAAATAAAAATAAAAAAAAACAAGGTATCTTACAGAATAGGAGCCATATGGACAACGCCTCAAAGCCCAACTCCAAAGCATCCATCAAGTTCTAGTTGCAAACAACTCCCAGCACGTCCTGGGTGAAAAACCCAGCAGCCACTACTAGTTAAAAGAAAAACCAAGTACTAACTTGTTTCCTTGTTTTCCCCTTTCCTCCTTCCTTCCTACCTTTCGGTGTCAAGAAACTCCAGTAGACACCAGGCCTTACCACTTCCTCACCCTAGTCGTTAGGGGAAATCTGATACACACTTACAACAAACTGTTACAGTATACCCGCATTTTCAAGATTGGCTGGTTCCCTACCGCCTCGCAGCTTTCTTCCAGTAAGTACAGGGCTGTGTATACACAGGGCACAGGACTAACTCGGGCACCCAGGGGCCAGCTGGAACAGGCTAGGGTTCCAGGCATTAACCCCAAAGGTCCCACTCAAAGGCTGCCGTGGGCAGCGGGGCAAAGTGTAGTGCGTGATGCGCAAGGCATTTAACAAGAGGCCTTGATGTCAAGTAAAAACATCAGGAAGGACTGACGAGCCTAAGAAAGGACAGAAATAAGAACAACGCTTTTTTTCCCCCCAAGTCCTGAACCATAAATAGAACAAGAGCAAAATGCTGCACTGTGCCCAGCCTTTGGAATAAGGGTAGCATAAGGATGTGTGTCCCTTGAGCAGGAGGTCCCCAAGGCAGCCTTCAAGAGTGAAGGGGGAAAAGGGAGGCAGCGAGGGCCCCGAAGCAGCAACCCATCTAACGCAAGACTCTCCAAACATGTGCGAACCGATTTTAATAGCATCCTCGTGCATTTCATTAGCCTCCTGAGTTCACAAAGGGCCTCTGGGAAGGCAAGTCGGTTCCGCAAACGCTGGCTCTGGGCAGGTCCTCCTGGCACCTAGCTGGCCTGGCGCAGCGCAGCTAGGGTTGGGTCCGGGGAGAGCTTTCCATTCCAGGCTGGGGGAGAGTGTCGAGAGGTGGATGGACAGAAGGACCGACCACCAAAGCCCGGCCAGCCTGGTTATTTTTACCACTCAAAGCTCACCATATAGCCTCAGTGGCCACAAACTGGCAGCCGCCTGCAGACACTCGCTTATGAGCCTCCCAGACTGCCTTCATTCCACAGTGACTGCTTCTCAGCTCCTGGCCCCAGATACGGGCAGGTTTGCCCGAGCAGGGAAGGGCTGTGTGCTTCACCGGGTGCTTCTTCGGGGTAGGGATGGGGAAACTAAAGCTCAGGGAAGCAAAAGGTCCCCCAAAAGGTGGGCTAGGGGACAGGGTGTAGGCTAGAAAATAGAATCCGGGAGCTAGTGGTTCAATTCCCCACTCAACCAAATGTCCACCTTGGTGGGCTGTGTGTGCAGGAGGTGGAGACTTACTTGTTTCAACTTTTGGGTGTCCAGGCTGCTGCATTAGCCACAAAGTTCAAAACCCCACTCCCCACTGTTGGTTCACTGACCTCTTCTAGGGCCAGGCAGTCCCAAACACAAACAGCCTCAAACTTTGACTCCTTTGTAACCACGGCGGTCCCAGCCAGACTGAACCAAGCTGTCCAGACAGAGGCTATTTATAGGTGCGTCGGGGACACAGACACTGGCACAATGACACACACACATTCAAGATCCACGCTGGGCCAGACGCACCAGCGCCAAGCCCTGGATTCAGACACCTGGACACACACGGTCCTCAGATCCGGCTCAACCAATCCAGACCCCCGGAAAGAAGCACACGCTCAAGAAAGGCACCCCGGCCCAGACTCGGGAAAGACACAGAGAGGCAGGAAGACTCGGAGACACGCACTCTCGGGCAAGACCTCGACTCAGACCCCCAAGCACCCCGAGAGACGCCGAAGACCCAGACAGAGTCACGCAGCCACGCACACTCCACAGACGCACGGACATCCACTCAGAGCCCGAGACACAGCGCCGCGAACACTTCCGACACACGCCCGGAGCCCCAGACACCTCGCAGACCAGACAGTGTCTCACACACCCCTCCACCCCCGCCCAAAGTTGATAAAGAGCCGGCCTAATTGCTCCATCGCGACTGCCCCTTAGGGAAATAAAATGGAAACTTCACGGATCCGCCCGCCCCGGCCCTCCCGCGCCGAGCGCCGCCGCTGGGCCCCGGGTCCGAGTCCCGACGGGAGGGGCGCGGACAGCGGGGGCCGTGCCAGGCTCACAGCGCCGCGGGACAAAGCCGGGCCGGCCGCCAGCTGCCGCGAGCCGGGAGGGCGCGCCCGGGGCGCGGCGGGCGCTGCCGGGGCGCAGGGCGTTCGGTTCGAGGGGGCGCGCTCGGCCCGGACCCCCGCCCGCAGCTGCGCCCGGACACAGGGTCCGAGCCCCACGGAGTCTCCGGGCAGGGGGGCATGGGGTCACTCACTGATCTCCATGCTCTGGAACAAAGAGCGTTTGCAGTTGCACGTGCAGGAGACATTGGGTTGCCCGGCGGCGGCGGCGGCGGTGCTGTTGACCCCCATCAAGCGGTGCATGGACGGCGCGGCGGCGCGGCGCGGGGCGCGGGGGGCGCGGGGGCGGCCGGGGGTGGCTCCGGCCGGCGCCCGGAGCTGGGGCCCCGCATGCAGGAGGCGCGCGGCGGGGGAGGCGCGCCCCGGCTCGCCGGGATCGGGTCGCCGCCAAGTTCCCGGGGCGCCGCGGGGCTCAGTGCGCGGGATCGCGCTCCTCGGCGCCCCCCCTGGCCGCCCCTCGGCAGCCCCGGGGGCGTCGGCAGTGTTCTCGGGTGGCGTCCGGAGAATGGGCTGGCAGCCGGGCGCGCGCGGCCGCCGGGGCTGAGCCTCCGCCGCTAGCTTTCCCCAGCCGAGCGCCTCCGCCGCCGCCGCCGCCGCCGCCTCCTCCTCATTCAAGTCCAAGGAGATCGGGTTTCGCTCCGAGACCGCGGTCGGAGGCAGGCAGACGGTCTGACGTCAGCGCTAGACGGGGCTGCCGGTTCCCACCGCGCGGGGGCCGGGGAGGGGGCGCGCGCTGCGCCAATCCCCGCCGAGGTTCCCCCGCACCCCCTCCCCGAGCCGCGGGGCGGGGTGACGGGGAACGGGGCGGGCTCTTAAAGGGCCAGAGACGGGCGGCCCACGTAGACCCGGCACCCGCGCAGCGGAGGAGGGGCGCTGTGCCTTCTCCCTAACGGGGGTCAGCTTGCAACGCCTGCCCGGCGCACGCCGGGGCCCGGGAAGCCGGACTTGGTGCCAGCCGCACGGGGACGGGTGTCTGGTGCGCCCTGCCCTCGCCCCCGTCCCTGGGTCCCTGACCCAGGCTTCCTGAGGCTAGCCTGTCTTCCGAGGAGCACAAGGTCCCTGGGGGCTCCGGGAAGGGAAATTGGAGAAAGCGGGAGGAAGCCCCCAGGATCGATCACCCATTTCCTGATTTCGCAGGAGACTGTCTGCCTTCAGTTCTGAAGGCAGCTCGGGGATCCTGGCCCACTGAACCCCGAGCGCTTTCACCCGAACCGAAGGAGAGCGACCAGGAAAGACTGGAACTCGCATAGACACGCCCGGAAGCCCTTGTCATGTAAATAGCTGTCGGGGACTGTTGTATTGTCGCTGCTCCAGCCGGCGGGACCTGGGGCGAATCCACACCCATTGTCTGCCGCCCGAGGGCCACCGGCTGGGGCGCGCGGCTCCAGAGTCCTAAAGGGGTCTGAGCGGAAAAGGTGTACTTTTATTTCGTTAAGTTTTAATTACAGGAGTGCTACAAGAACACATTCTTCTGGTTTAAAAAGATATTAAAATATTACATAAGAGACCTCCCCCCCGGCCCACCTCCAGCCTCTTAAGAATTTGGTGGGTCGCCTCTTAGACACTTTCTCAAAGCTTCACTTATTTAACAAGCACTTTAGGAGCACCTACCCGTGCCAGGAACTTTCCACATATTCACTCAACCTGACACCCACTTGGTGTGGCCAAATATTACTATCCCCATTTCACAGAGCCGGAAGCTGGCCAGGGAAGTCGCTTGCTGAAGGTCACACAGTGGTGAAGCCTGCGTTCCCATCCAGGACCCTGAGGTAGCTGCCTCTCCCTCTCCCCCATAGTCCGGGTTCTTTAAATATCCACATATTCCCGTAATGCCTGGAGTTTTCGTAATTAGCAGGGACTTTGTGGTGTGTGTTTGGAGCAAAAAAAGACTTTTAAAAATTATTGTTACTGTGTTTGAAATGGATTGGATAGAGAAGGAAAAGCTGGAATTTGGGAAGTGAAGTTCTCCCTCTGGGGAGAACTCACCTAGACCAGAGCGAATTCATCCTGAAGAACTGAAGAGAAAGCCGGTGTGGGAAGTGGTTCTGATTCTCCTTGCACAGCCACAGCTTCCAGAGCTCTCCCAGAAAGAATGGGAGACTTGTTCTGGGGAATTCAAGCCCAAGGATGTGGCTCAGGCTGGTCCAGGCCCTTTGGAGGAGTCCGAGAGTGTCTAGCCCAGGCGGTTCAGAGGCAGTGACCATCATCTTTTGGGAGGAGAAGCTCTCTTGGAGCCACAGCCCACACTAGGTCAGGACCCAGGCCCTGGCCCAGGAGTGGGGCAATACCCAGGGTCTACCCCAGATGGCACCCTGCTGTGAACCGGGCACCCTCAGCCCCTGCCTTGAGGAAGGGGCAATATTACCAGCGTGACTTTCATCAGGGAAGATCTTGCTTTTGGCCTCTGCAACTTAAGAGAATAGCTGAGGGGTCCTGAGCATCCCTTGGGAGGCACTGCAAATGCTGGCTGGGCCTGGATCTGTGGATCCCATTCATTTCTTGGGGTGAAGGAAGTCGTTATTACCACCCCTCCTTTAAGCCATTTCTTTATTCATTCAGTCCACAAACTCTGGCTGAGCTGCAACCCTGAGCTGGAGCATGGGATTCAGCCATGCCAGACACAGCCCCTGCCCTCCGGGAAGTCTCCAGAGACCTGGCAAGTCTGGCCGGGAGAAATCACACGTTGATTGTCTTGGAAGTGAGACGGCATTTACACAATGGAGGCTGCACTGCCAGCAGGCAAAAATAACCAGTTAATTCAGTGGATTAAAAAGAAGCAAACCTACCCACAGCACTTGACCTCCCATTGATCTGTCTGCGACAACAGTAGTGACTACCGTTTACTGAGTGCTGATGGGGTCACCTGGGATTGACTTAGTGGTCTCTGGCGCTAGTTCCAAAGTTGATTCTGTCTGGAGAGAGAACACTGTCTGCAGTGTTCAGACCTGAGGGTCCAAAACGGAGGGTCACCCAAAGATGAGTGGGACAGAGCTATGCGACCTCGGCTGAGTGCTTTCACCTCTCCAGTCTCAGTTTCCTCTTCTGCAAATGGGGCGGCTTCATGGCACCTTGACATGGTGTGATTGTGAAGAATGAAGGGATTGATGCTTTGCACGTGGGGGGAGAAGAGGGCCGGATACATCTCAGTTGTTACGTTATTTAATCCTCTTGGCAACCCTGGGAGGGAGGAACCACTATCATTTTATTTTACATTTTACAGGTGAGGGGAATGATGATTCCAGCACAGACAGGACCTCTGGCAGGGCAGTAGGAAAGGAGAATGCCTTTGGAAGGAGCATGGGCTGGACTGCCAGCACTCACAGGAGGCCTCGTGTGTGCCCAGGACTGCCGGATTAAATACGGGACACCCAGGTAAGTTTGAATTTCAGATAAACGATGAATAATGTTTAGTGTAAGTATATCTCATGCAATATTTGGGACATACTTATACTAAAAATTTATATATTACTTATCTGAAATTCAAATTTAAGTGAATATCCTCTATTTTTCTCTTGTGAAATCGGATAACCTAGATGTACCAGGGATTGTGCTGCTGGCAATTCGGGCATGAGGGGCAGAGCCCACTGTCAGGCACAGGCAGAGGAGGTCACAACTCCCCGATTCTACCCAGGGGAAACTGGGCACGGCCATGGTGTTCATGGCTGAGGAGTTCGGGCTCACAGTTGGGAGTGGGAGTGGGGAGGGGTCACCATGATTGGGCAGGCCTGAGTCCCTGGGAGGAAGGCCACAAGTCAGAGACAAAACACGATTTTGTTCACTCATTCAACAGATGTCCTACTCCTACTATTCAGCGTGAAGCTCTGTGCTGGGTATTGGGTGCAGGGCTGGGAAGAAAACAAGCTCCCTGACCTCGAGTGACATTGTGGGGGACAAAGAGACTAGAGATGAACATGCAAACTCATAGCTTAATGAGGTCAGGAGCAGATTTCAGATACGCTGATGACAGGCCAAAGGCAGGAGTTGGGTGAGATCAAGGAAGCCTTCCCTGAGGAGGTGGCATCTCTTTGCACCTGGAGTTACCAAACACTCACAGGTGCAGCCCCAGCCATACTGTGGCTCACAGGTGAGGCTGATGTCACATATATAAAAAGATGTGTCCAGGTGATAATTTCAGAGAGGGACAAGACCTGGAACAATATAAAGGAAGACGGGGATTTGGAGGTGACTTGAGCCCAAGGGGTTGGGCCCTGTCTGGGGAGATGTAGGCTGGGCATGTAAGGGACAGTGGGGGCCGCAGGAACTAAGAGACTCATGGTCCCAGCAGGTCTGGAGTTTGGGACACATTTCCCAGCCTGGCTGTGGTCACAGGTTGTGAAATGAGTGTGTGAAGCAAATGGATTGTGAAACAGGTGCCTTTCAGGGACTCCAGACAGCATGTGCCACCATCTGCCCTGCCCGTCGGTTGAATCTGTGGCAGGGGGCTCTCTCCAGAGGAAAGGTCCTGTTTCAGCAGGTGGGGCTTTGCTCCCAGCGGCGCCATGTGCTGTGCCAGGCTTGGGTGCAGAGCCAGCTTTGTGGGTGTGTGACTCCCTATACTCGCCAGGGCCCCACGCTCTGAAGCGTTGGGGGTTGATTTTATTTTTGGGTTTACTTTAATTCTCTCCCGTTGACATCTTAAAATTCCTAATAGCCAACTATTTCTGAACTCGGGGGCCTGCAAATCTGTACCAGTCCTGCACAGATGCCAGGCCCACACTGGCAGCCAGTTGGGACCCGTAGAAGTCAGTGTGGGTTTCGGCCACAGCCGAGGGTGGCTGGCAGTGTCTTGACTGTGCCCGCTGGGTGAGGGTGGCTGGCCACTATGGAGAGTGCCTGGCTGAGCCAACAAAGGTCCTGCTTGGGGAGCCGGCTATGGGGACACGGCAGAGTCCGGCTCGGGGCCAGTTGTGCTGCTGTCTGCCTGCCACACCCTGGCCTGCTTGGACGGAGCTGCCTCTGCAGAATTGGTCTTGGGAAGCCTTAAGCAGCTTAATGACCTCCCCTCCCAACTCAACACCTTTGGAAACGCTGTCCAGCAGGGTCATTTCATTCCTCAGGTTGGGGTTAACTCTGTGTGTTTCACAGGTTAGTGTCTTTGGACTTCGGGTTTTTTTGTTGCTGTTTTTGTCTTGTTTTACTTTTAAACACTAGTAGGAGCCGACGTTTACTGGCACTGCCCGTGTGCCGTGCCAAGCCCTGTTCTAACCACTTCACGTTCTTGCATCTAGTCATGAAACAGATATGCACGGGGACCCTGCAGTGAGCCAGGAATGAGCTCACTGGATCCTCACCACAGCCCGCTGAGGTCCAAACATTCCCACTTGATAGATGGGGACACTGAGGCTCAGAGACCCCAGGATGAGGTGGAGCTGAGATGTGAAGCAGGTACTCAGACCCCAAAACCCATGGGCTGACCTCAGCAAATGGCGCCTTCTGCACCCTCTCCATCCTCACCGCCTCTGACTGGGTCCTCCCTGGCCATCCCGCTGGGCTCCAGTAGTTCCGTCCCCTGTGGCTCCGTAAAGGCTCCCTGGGATCCAGCATTCGCTGCTCTGCTGGTGGTGGTCGTTCATAAACCTCATCTCCAACGATGAGAGGCAGCTGACTCTGCAGAGGAGTGAGGCTGGAGTGGCCAGGCTGCTGAGAGAGGCCCCTCCAGCACCTGCTC